AGGTTCGTCAATTGAAGAGGGGTGCATCCGCTCACCAACCCATTCTCATCCTTCTTAACTTGTTTTTCCTCCCCAATTCTTCTAAGCCAGGTGACCCTGACTTCATGGGAGGAGAGAAGGACCATGTGTATAGCCTCTCTTCCTTTTGTCTTTCTTTTTGTAATACACACACACACAAAAACAAGCAAAAAACCCCAAACAACCCCCCCACCTCCCGCTGCCAGCCTTAGTGAGATAGAATTCACATACTAGCCACTTTGGGCAAAGTGTACCATTCACAGAGTTGTGCATTCATCATCATAATTGATTTTAGAACATTCCTATTACACTTATTTGAAATCCTGTACTCCTTAGCCATACACCACTTTCTAACCCCTCCATTCTTTCCCCAAATCCTAGACAATCACTAATGTATTTTCTGTCTCTACAGATCTGACTATTCTGGATATTTGTATAAATGGAATTGTACAATATGCTGTCCTTTCACTTAGTTTATTGTTTCCAAGTTTCATTCATGTTGTTGTCAAATAATATTTCATTGTATGGATATACCACATTTTATTTATCCGTTAATCTGTTGGCAGACACTTGGGTTGCTCCATCTTTTGGCTACTGTGTGTAATGCTGCAATGAATATAGGTATACAAATATCTATTTGAGTCCCTGCTTTCAGTTCTTTTGGGCACATAGCCAGAAGGGGACTTGCTGGAACATATGTTAATTCTACGCTTAATTATTTGAGGAAACATCAACCTATTTCCACAGTGACTGTGCCATTTTACATTCCCATCAACGATGCACAAAAGATTCTAAAGGAAATGCAAATCAACACCACAGTTGGTTTTGATTTGCATTTCCTTATTGGCCAATGATGTTGAGCATTTTTTTACACGCTTCTTGTCCATTTGTATACATTCTTTGGAGACATGTTGAGTCAGATCTTTGCCCATTTTTAGTTACATTATTTGTCTTTTTATTATTGTCCTTTTTCAGCCTATTCATATGCAGATGTGAATCTGATGAAGCTTCAGTTTCAAAGCCTCTCATTTGCAAGAGCCCCCTTCTAAGACCTCCAGTGGGCTCCAGCAATGTGTTTATATAGACATATATTTCAATGAAATTTGGGGAAAAAGATGTTTTTAAACAACAGTTGTTAAGACTGCTTTCTCTTTCCAATTTGCCTTCCTTTCAAGTTGATTGGTGTTAGGGAGGCAGTAGGCATTTTGTATTCATTATTTTCTGTATTTTTTTTCTTTCAAAGGACACCTAAGTCATATAACTTGGGCTTCACAAAATCTGGATCTGCTCCTACTCGTCTATAATAAATTCTAAGTCCTACTCTCCTGAGAGCCTTCTCTCTTGATTTTGTAGAAACGAAATCCTCTACATAAAATGTTTCCTTCCTCTTGGCAAATTTCTGCTATGGGGAAGCAGAATTCTCATTCAGGTATGCGGTGGCCTCTGACTGCTTGCAGAGGGGTAATAACAGCATCATAGGATGCTTTTCTTTGATTTCTCCTCTCCTTTCAGCTCCTGTCATCACCACTCCTCTTGAAACCGTGGACGCCTTAGTTGAAGAAGTGGCTACTTTCATGTGCGCAGTGGAATCCTATCCCCAGCCTGAAATTTCCTGGACGAGAAATAAAATTCTCATTAAGTAAGTATTCTGCCTTTTATCAGCGAGAATGCGCAAGGCTGCCTTGGGATTTATCTTTGTTACAAATATAATCACAGCTCTCGGCAGTACTGAAGTTCACCTTTAGTCTCTGTTAACACAAGTCATTTTACCAATATCTCATAAGCTGTTAGCTTTGTAATTTATATGCTTAACATTTTTATGAGTTTTATCCATTTTACTTTTGTCTTTGTTTCTTATAATAAAATTAAATATTCCTACATAACACAGAACAACCTCTTGAATAACTGTGGTAATCAAAGCACCTGTGACATTATCACAATAGAAGTTATAAAAAGCTTTATATTACTTTACGATATAATGAAATATTTATTGCTGCTTATATATTGAGATATTATTTATACTATTCCCAACTTTTAAGTTATAATAGTTGTTAGATAGTCAGCATTTAATGTTCATAGGTCAATATTCAAAGACTGTTCTCCCCCTCATTGTCTTTTAACTTGTCCAGGAAGGAAGTTTGACGCCTATGATGTCAAATTGCTTTGAAAAATATTGCCCTATAATCCTTTCACATGTTTATCTCCCAATATTACAAGGAGATGAAGAAATGGACAACCAAAGAGTTTTTCAAATCAAGCAAAGAAAGTCAACCTTTTAAGTCTACTTCAGGAAATCATAAATACAAGCTTACTCCAACTTGGCTTATAATACTATAAATAAAATTATTTTAATACATTTAAATCTTCCCTTGACTGTACGGCAAAAAAATGTTGCAAGTAAATAAGAAATAAATGGAGCTATAGGTTTGAATAGTTGTTAGGCAAAGGATATGTGAAATAGGGAGAAATTATGTTTTAAAAATACGATTGAGTGCTTCTTGAGGAATAATGAATAACCTTCCACAGGAGACACCTGACAAGCATCTCAGCCAGGTGGTAAAGTCAATATCAACAGTGAGAAATCATACTGAATGTATGGATGTCCCTTGTTATGATGTGATGAAATGGCACTCTACTTTTGCGGTCTTTCTCCCCAAAACTAGAAACCCAATTTAATCATGTTAAAACCATAAGACAAATTCCAATAGAGGAGCATCCTACAAAATACTTGACCAGTTCTCTTCAACAGGATGATGTGGAGAAAAGAAAACCCTTGTACACAATTGATGGGAATGTAAGGTGGTGCAGCCTCTATGGAAAACAGCATGGAGGTTTCCCAAAAAACTGAAGTTAGAACTACCATATGACCCAGCAATTCCACCCTGGGGTCAGAAAAAGTGAAAACACTAATTTGAAAAGATATGTGCAACCCTAATTCATAGCAGTGAACACATCTGTAAAATATTTCAATATTCATATTTTTCCATGAAAACTATTTACAATACCCAAGGTATGGAAGCAACCCAAGTGTCCATCAACTGATGAATGGATAAAGAATATATGATATGTATTTACAACGGAATATTACTCAGCCATAAAAAATGAAATTCTGCCACTTGCAGCAGCATACATGAACCTAGAGAATATCATGCTTAGTGAAATGTCAGGCAGAAAAAGACAAATACTGCATGATATCACTTATATATGGAGTCTATAAAAGAATACAACTAAGTTTATATGCAAAACAGAAACAGACTCACAGATATAGAAAGCAAACTAGTGGATACCAAAGGGGAGAGGAAAGGGGGGAAGGGTAAATTAGGGGTAGACGATTTAGAGATACAAACTACTATGCATCAAGGATATATTGTATAGCAGAGGGAATTACAGCTATTATCTTGTAAAAACTTTTAGTGGAGTATAATCTGCAAAAAACACTGAACCACTATGCTGTGTACACCTAAAATTAATATAAGGTTGTAAATATTGAGTGTCCCTCACAATCTAAAAGCAATTTATGTACTTTAATTAAGCAACAATGATTCAACAGATTATAAATCTTTAAAACTTTATATTTCATAGAGTCCACAAACACATCTGTAAAATATTCCAATATTCATATTTTTCCATGAAAACTTATATACAGCAAAAGAAAAGACTAAAATTACATGTGATTGTCATGGCTATCTTCAATTATCTAATGTGATTTAATGAACTACTTGGTGATTATATTATCTTAGTCACATTAGACCAAAATTACTACATCTCTTTATTCCTCTTTAAGATCAAGTATGTGATGGGAGCCACCTGACAAGAATCCATTTCCTTTATACTTTTTGTTTTCACATTAAATTAGTCTCCTATTTCTGCTGTAATCAATTACCACTAACGCAGGGGCTTGAAACAACACAAATTTATTATCTTCCAGTTCAGAGTTCTGAAATTAGTTCAGAGTTCAGAGGTCTGAAATAAGTCTCTTTGAGCTAAAATTGAGACATTGACCGGACGGGAGGTACTAGAGGAAAATATGATTTCTTGCCTTTTCTAGCTTCTAGGGGCTGCCTGCACTGCTTGGCCCCTTCCTCCATTTTCAAAGCCAGCACTTGTGACACTCCACCCTCCGCCTCCATGGTCACATCTCATCCTCTGATTCCCCTGCTTTCCTCTTCCATCTTCCAAGGACCCTCATGATTACATGGGGCCCATCTGGATAATCCATGATACTCTAGTTTAAGATCCTTGAGATCTGCAAAATCCCTTTTGCCATGTAAGTTTCTGGGGATTAACACATGGATCTTTAGAGGGGGCATTCCTCGGCCTAATGTACACATGTTGCATAAAAACCTTTATTTGGTCCTAAAACCCACTTTTTTATGAAGTATAGTTGATTGACAATGCTGTTAGTTTCAGGTATATAGCAAAGTGTGATTCAGTTATATATATACACACACACAAATATATTCCTTAGGCGTAGAATCTTTTTCAGCTTCTTTTCCATTATAGGTTGGTACAAGATATTGAATATAGTTCTCTGTGCTATGCAGTCCTTATTGTCTATCTCTTTTATATACTATAGTGTGAATCTGTTCATCCTAAACTCCGAATTCATCCCCCCTTTCCCCTTTGGTAACCTTATGTTTGTTTTCTATGTCTATAAATCTATTTCTGTCATAAAACTTACTTTTACACTGATGCTTCCCCTCAGATTTCTTTCTGTTATCCTAATTCCCTTCTCAACAAACATGTTTCATGTCCTTTAATGAGATCATATACGGAAGACCTGCATTTTTAGAGTTTGAGCCTGTTTTGCCTCCTCGTGTGTCCCGAGGAGCTGGAACTGTGGCCGGCACTTGTTAGGCACTCAACACATATTTGGTTAATGAATGAACAAATACTTAGTTAACTGTTAATGACCTCTATAAATATTTAACCCTTTCTTTTTTCATTATTTAAAAAAATTGAAGTATCATTGATTTGCAATGTATGCTAGTTTCAGGTGTACAGCTTTGCGATTCAGCTATACATATATATTCTTTTTCAGATTCTTTTTATTATAGGTTATTCCAAGATATTGAATATAGTTCTCTGTGCTGTGCGTAGGGCCCTTGCTGTTTATCTATTTTATACATAGTAGTGTGTACCCATTAATCCCTTTCTGCTAGTTGCATTTTATGTGTGCATGTTCATTATCCAGCGCTACTTCCCAGTAAATATGGGGAAATACTTACATATCTTGGAGAATGATAGACTTCCCTAAATAAAGTAAATACTACATGTGGGCTTATCAATAGGTATAACCTTTTGAAATTATTTTTGAAGGACTCAGTGGTGCTTTGATTACTGGAGACTAGGAAAGACAAGAATGTCATATTAGCTTTAAATTACCAAATAAGATTACTCTGTCGTTCAGAACTCACTTGTTTCCTGCTAGCTTTTCCTCCACTGACAAATCATCTGTTTTATCATTTAATCATCACCAAAAAAAAGTTCATAGGTGAGGTCCTAACCTGCCATATTCCTCTGTGACCCACAGGCTCTTTGACACGCGGTACAGCATCCGGGAGAACGGTCAACTCCTCACCATCCTGAGTGTGGAAGACAGCGATGACGGCATTTATTGCTGCATCGCCAACAACGGCGTGGGAGGGGCTGCCGAGAGCTGCGGGGCTCTGCAAGTGAAGATGAGTGAGTAGGAAAGAGAATCCATTGATTTCCATTGATTTCCAAGCTGACTTGGTACACTTCCAAGTAGGCAATAAACAGAGCCTCCAGAATACCTGGAGGTTCAAGCAGCAAGACAAGCTCAAGTTCCAGTCACAACCTTGAGGCAGTTAGCTCCACACCCCTTATTCCTGCCATCAACCACTACCCTACGGGCAAGCATCCTACTTCCCCATCTTCTCGCATTTTCTTGCCTTTATACGGCTCTTTGCTTGCCCCACCCTGATGCCTTTCACCAGGGAACTTCTCTCTACAATTTTTACCCTGTGTCTTTAAAACCGTTTCATTACAACCAAACACCCTTTTAATCTCTAACCTCATGGCAGACACTTCTACCCTTTTTCCTAATTTCAAACTTGGTTTTCTTGAGCAACTTTTCAAATTTGAGTGACTCTTCTACTTAAATGGAAGCTGTTTAGTATTCCCCACTTCATGTCAACAAGGCTGGCACATATGATGGTTAATTGCTGCTTCTAAGCCATTATATGTATATATTTTTTAATTGAAGAATAATTGATTTATAATGTTGTGTTAATTCCTGGTGTACAGCAAAGTGATTCAGTCATACATATACATATATATTTTTCAGATTCTTTTCTATTATAGGTCATTACAAGATGTTGAACATAGTTCCCTGAGCTATACAGTAGGTCCTTGCTGTTTATCTGTTTATATACAGTAGTTTGTATCAACTAGTCCCACACTCCTATTTTATACCTCCCCCACCACCTTCCCCTTTGGTGACCAGAAATTTGTTTTCTATGTCTGTGAATCTGTTTCTGTTTTGTAAATAAATCAATTTGTATCATTTTTTAGATTCCACATATAAGTGATATCGTACGACATTTGCCTTTCTCTGTCTGACTCACTTCACTTAGTATGATAATCTCTGGGTCCATCCACATAGCTGCAAATAAGCCATTATATTTTGTGTTCCTGTGCAAAACTTTTCCTCTCGTGAGGGCTTGTGCCATTTTGATCATTCTCTCTAACCCTGTTCATCAAGTCATCTACTCACTTCTAGGTCCTCTCCCGTATTTATGAAAGACTTTAATCCCAGATTTATTATCCTTCTATCCACTCCTACTCCTGCCATGATCCTGAGGGATTTTTAACAGCCATGAGACAGAGTGACTGCCCACTTCATCCTACAGCTCCTTGGCCTCCACAAGTCCGCTGATGTTTGCCTTAACTCTTTATCAGTCGACCCAATCTGGGACCTTGTCATCCCAGGAAACGGACTGTATTTCAAATCTTAAGCTCCAGTATGTCACACTCTGAACATGGACACTTCCAGCTCTGTCCGATGAGGGAAGCAGTTTCCCACACTCATGATCTGCCTCCAAACAGGAGGCACAAACTCCACCTGTCTCTTTCTCAGCTAAGAACAGTGTCTAGCTCTCTCCCTCCCTGCCTCCCTCTCACTCCATACTGTCACCGACATGGTCACGTTCTCCTGCCCTTGACTCTGCTGTCCTCTGTTCCACCGACTCCCAGCGGGGACTTCACTCAGTTCTCTCTCCACTTAGTTCTCTCTCCTCCCTGTGCGGTAGCATCAAGCACCCCTCACCAGCGTCCTCAGATCTGTGAACCCCTGTGCTGTAGCATCTGCTGCTCTCGACCCTGTAATAATATAACCTTCATTTTCCCCTCTCTGACACCACGCTGCTGGTGGGAAAAATCACATGCATGTTGGCACCATACAAAGCAGGAGAATCCAGTTCCACCTGGAACCTTTATTGTGAGTTTTGTTCTTGTGGACTTACATCCCTGCTTCTTGTATCTCTGATCTTTTTACTCTGTTGTTACTGCTTTCTGGAGGGGATCATCCACTGCTTCTTTTCAGTGTGAGATGCACTTCCTGAATGTTTGCATGGCTGAAAGTCTCTACTCTGCCCTCACTCTTGGGTAATATTTCAGGTATAGATGAAAGTTTTAAAAGGCTCTTGACTGAGGTTTTAGTAGACAATTATTCATTGTCATATGACAGTCTACGTTGTAGGTGAGAAATCTCTCTTACCTGTTTACAGGTAAATCTGATGTTTATCTGTCTTAAAATTTCCAGGATTTTTCTCTTTATTTCTAGAATTCTTAAAATTTTCAAATAGATAAGAATACATTAGGTATGTTATTATCACTGTCTTTTATTAATACTTTTTTTTATTCCCACTTAGTCTTAGGTGAGCCCTTTTGATCTAAAACCCAAAGGGTTTTGTTTTACTTTTTCAAAATGGGCTATACTTTTTTTCCTACCTTCTTCCTCTTAATTCTATCTTATTCTTACACTTTTAATTAACAAATATTAGGTTTCTTTTTTTGTCCATTTTTTTATGGCTCTAATTTTTCCTCCTCACATTTTCTACATATCTATCTTGATACTCTATCTTCTGGGAGATTTATTTGACTTTTCCTTTTATATCATAAATTTGGTCTTCACTATGACCTCTGATACTCTGATCTTATATTGAGTACTTAAGATCTTAAAAACCCATATGTTTAATTTCTAGGGATTATTTCTTCCCTGATCACTCCTTTTATTGGTAGCAAACTCTGTATGTTGTATGATGCAATATTCACTCAAGTCTCACTAAAGGTACCACTAATGCATTTTTGAAAATCATTTTCTTCTTTTGCCTGCCTTATTTCTGTTTCCTTCTGGCTAAGTTTTTATTTTCTTTCTTTCTGTTTTTTCCCTTCATGTTCATGGTTTTTCTCAAATGTCTGTTAATCTTCTAAGTTTGCTCACACTTATAAATGATGCCCGAGATTGAGTATAACAGGTATGGAGTGGGGCTAGTGGGACATCGTGGCAAAGCAGATCTGGGGGTTCTGTGAGTAAGCAGGTATGGGGGTACCCACAAGCGGGCTTTCTTTTAGCATGTGGGGCAGTGAGAATATCAGGTATGGAAGTTGGGACGTTCTCTTTTGTTGAAGAATGAGGCCTTGATTTTGAAGACAGAGCTCATTTAAGTACCTCACTACTTTGTGGCACTATTTTTCCTTTGAATGTTTCTCCCATTCTTTCTGGCACTAAATATCCTTGTTTTTGATTCTATCCTCAATCCTTTTCTTCTCTCCACTCTTTCCTTAGGAAAGCTCACCTATTCATGCGGGTATACACTGGTGTGGCCATCCCAGCTGTTAACATTTTGGAATGCTTCCACACTGCTTGGTAAAGAGCTGCTTCCTGAGACCCTCAAGGTCCCCACCCCCATCACT